AAGCTGAACTTGAGAACATCGTCGAGAGTCTCAGAGGCAAGACTGAAGTCTTCAATGTCCAGATTCAAACGAAGCAGAAAGAGCTGGAACCATGGATGACGCAAGTGCGGAAGATTCAGTCCGACATCGATGTCGCTACGAATGAGAAGCAGCTGCTTGAGGAGAAGGCTGCCTCCGTTGGCAAAGGCGTTGACCAAGCGACTGCTGCGGTGGACACTCTCAAAGAAGAGCTCGGCGCAAAGGGGGAAGAGCTCCAGAAACTGAACATGGAGAAGAAAAACCTCGAGGCCGAGGCCAAGGAAGGCCGTAGTAAGCTGAAGGTAATGATGCGTGTAATCGCCGATGTGCCATTTGCTAATTCCCTTACAGGCGATGCAGGACGACGTTGGAAATTTGAAAACTAAGGCGAAGACGCTGCGGGAGCGCTCGGATGAGGCAAAAGCATCTCTGTCCGCAAACAAGTCTGAAGACGCTGTCCTTGAGAGTCTGACCAGACTTCGTGACACGGGTCGCATTAAGGGTTTCCATGTGAGTATCGCTGTGTTAGGTGCACAATATTTAGCTGACTCGTTCTACAGGGCCGCCTTGGAAACCTGGGCACTATCTCGGATAAATACGATGTTGCAGTCTCGACTGCCTGCACGTCACTGAACAACTTGGTGGTCGACACCGTTGAGCAGGGACAGGCATGCATCGAGTACCTTCGCAAACACAATATAGGCCGAGCGTCCATCATCGTGCTAGAGAAGCTGCCTGCTAGAAATTTGGACAAGATCGACACACCTGAGGGTGTTCCTCGCCTCTTCGACCTTATCACTCCAAAGGATGCGAAGTTCGCACCAGCTTTCTACAAGGGGTTGTTCAACACACTCGTTGCAGACAATATGGAGCAAGCCAATCGTATTGCTTTCGGGGCGAAGAGATGGCGTGTAGTCACGCTGGCCGGCCAGCTCATTGATACGTCTGGAACAATGTCTGGAGGTGGGAACCGCGCTGCTAAAGGTGGAATGAGCTCGAAATTCGCCGCGGATCGGGTAGAGCCCAATGTTGTCGCCCGCTACGAGAAGGAAACATCCGATGCAGAAGAGCACGCCCAAAAGTTCCAGGCAGATCTCCGAGATGCGGAGGCTAAACTGGAGGCCGTTGAGAAGAATATCCCTAGGGTGGACATGGCCATTTCGAAGATCCAGCTCGACATCAAGGGGCTACAGGCTCGGCTGGCTGAGGCCGAGAAGCGCGCCAAGGAGCTACAGTGAGTACTGATACTTTTATTGGACATATTTGGTGACGCCCTGCTCTAGAACCCAGAGCAAGCCTGACGCGAACGATGCTAAGCGAATCAAGGCTCTTGAAGCCGAGATGGCTGCTCACTCCAAGGAGTTGGAGAAAGTCAAGACGAAATCCGACGCTATTGAATCTGATATTCGTGACCTTCAAGAAAAGATTCTTGAAGTCGGTGGGGTTCGATTGCGTTCACAGCAATCCAAGGTCGACGGCATCAAACAGCTCATCGATCTGGCCAACGAACGGATGAACAAGGCTGAAGTTACACAGGCGAAGGCAACCAAAGATCTTGAGAAGCTGGCCAAATCCATCGAAACGCACACGAAGCAGCTTGAGGACGTGCAAGCAGAGGTGGAAGCCCTCGAAGCGGATTATGCCACGTCCGCTGCAGACCTGCAGGTCATTCGAGAAAATGTCGCGAATGCCGAAGCTGCGCTTGAGACTGCCAAGGACCAGCTGGAAGAGATGAAGTCTGACTTGGATGAGAAAACGGCATTCATCAAGCAATTCCGAGCTTTAGAGGTGAGGACCTCATAAACAGGAGGAACGAGTGCTGACTTCCCACAGATGGAACTGAAGCAGAAGCTCGATGAGGCGGGGAAGTCTATGGAGGATTCGAAGCGCAAGCTTGAGCACTGGAAGGCCAAACACGATGACCTTCACCTTGAATACGTCGAGTAAGTGAATCAAACCGGATAAATCACATCAGTACTTAATTTCAGTTTCAGTGACGATGAGGATGAAGAGGAAGAGGACTCTCCCAAGGTTCAGGACAGCTCGGTGGACGCCCCTGAAGATACCGAATCGGTTGTCGAGAACAGGGAAAATGATGTTGACGAGGAGGTGAAAGATGATGTCAAGCCGGTCAAGAAGGCAAAGCGACATGCAAAAGATGAGATTCCTGTCTACAGCGATGATGAACTTCAAGGTTGCAACCGCGATCAACTTGTTGGTCAAGTATCTCTGCTTGAAGGTGAGCGGTGTGATGTATAGCCTGGGCTATGCTGAATGCTTTACAGAGCGTGTGGGCAATCCACCAAACATGAACGTTTTGGTTGAGTACCGCAAACGGGAGGCCAACTTCCTGGAACGCGCTCAAGACCTTGAGCGTGTCACTGCCCTGCGAGATGCCGAGAAGCGGCGGCATGATGAGCTACGCAAGACTCGTTTGGAAGAATTCATGACCGGCTTTAGCATCATCACTTCCAAGCTAAAGGAGATGTATCAGGTTTGTCCGTACATTCCGTCGCCTTCCTGCAAGCTCATCATAACCAGATGATCACCTTGGGCGGAAACGCTGAATTGGAGCTTGTGGACAGTATGGATCCATTCTCGGAAGGCATCAACTTTAGCGTCATGCCACCTAAGAAGAGTTGGAAGAACATCTCCAACTTGTCCGGCGGTGAGAAGACACTCAGCTCCCTTGCCCTTGTGTTCGCTCTGCACGTGTTCAAGCCCACACCGCTGTACTTCATGGACGAAATCGATGCCGCTCTGGATTTCCGAAATGTCTCCATCATTGCGAACTATATCAAAGACCGGACGAAGAATGCGCAGTTCATTATTATTTCCTTGCGCAACGACATGTTCGAGTTGAGCCATCGCCTCATTGGAATATACAAGACAGGAAATGCAACGAGTAAGTCGGCGATGTGTCGAGTTGAATGTCCGTCACTGATTCTCGTCTGCAGAGAGCATTGCCATCAACAATCATGCTATGGTAGCAGCCGCGTGATGTAGCAGATAATTTTCTTCTTGTTTGCGTTGCTTGAAGCATTTTGTAATTGTATAGCAAGTTTCCTAATTCTAACGCTTGTGTCCTCCACCTGATCTTGGGGGCACGTGGGACATTGTTGCGTTCCCACGCGAACCCTTAGCGCCGGTGCCGTGGTTCTATTGCTAGGCAAAAACAGTCAGACCCTGCTCTTCATGCCGTCCACAACGCTTGGGGTTGGGTGACAGGTTGGCTTCGTCTACCACTCTTTGCATCGTTCTGAACTGCTGAGGATGCCCCAGTCGACCAGTGTTGTGAAAGTTATTCCTGGTGTCCCAAGCTCGACATGGGTAGAGCCGCAGGAAGTGCTCAAGGACATGCATCCGCCGTTCCGCGATCGCATCACGTCGTTCGTAGCGACGCTGCCTTGGGAGAAGATTGAGCAGCTCGCCACCTCGCACCGCGAAGGAAAGATAGCATGCACTGTCAACCGCGAAAAGTACACCTGGGGAATGTTCAGCCTCGTTCTAGGTCCGTTCGCCTCCATGGTTGTTGATAATGCTAACCCGACTCACTTTTCACAGAGCTTATTTTCGAGGATGGCGTAGCTTGGGTCATCCGCCTTCGGATGCCCCCCGGCTCCATCCGCTGGCTGGAGAACCGTGGCCGATTCGAGGAGCAGGTTCTGGTGAGCGAGCACGCGACGATGCAGCTGGTGCGAGAACGGACGACGATCCCCGTGCCTGCACTCATCGCCTGGTCCTCAACGTCCGACAACCCGATCGGCGTCCCGTTCGTCATCCAGGAGGCTATCGTCGGCTACCGGCCCTGGCAGGTCGGGGTCGCGTTCGACGACAAGGTCGACGTGGAGAACGAAAAGTTCCGGCGGTATATACGGCAGCTTGCGGACTTTCACCTCCAGCTCAGCCAGATCCGCTTCAAGCAGCTTGGCTCGGTCCTTCTGGATGGGAAAGGCGGGTACGAGATTGGCCCGGTGGCGCAGTGGCAGCGAGGCCCGTACACGTCCGGTCTGGCGTACTACAGCTACCTCGCAAGCAGGATGGCGAAGATCGCGTCGCTCGGTGAGCCGCCGAAGACGCCGAAGGAGCGACAGGACAGGCTGAAGCGGTTCTTCACCGCTTGGCTATATCGCACCGCCATCGTGCATGTTGCAAACTCGGACGATGGGAGGGGCCCGTTCCCGCTCGCTCATAATGACTTGCACATGGGCAACACGATCGTTGATGAGGTCAGTGATACATACCCGCTCGCGTCACACTGTGGTTGACGGAGTCACAAGGACGGGAACATCCTCGCCGTACTTGACTGGGACCACGCGCACACCGTCCCCGTCGAGCGGTTCTCCTCCCCCTCCTGGTCGTTCGGCGCGCTGCCGTACACTTCTCAGCCAGTGACGGCGGAGCGGGCAAAGCTCTTCCACTCCTTCCTCGTCGAGCTCGAGCCAAAGTACTACCCGACGCCGACGACCGTATCCGGCAAGACGTTTTCCGAGCTGCACGCCTCCACCGAGGGGTGCATTGCTGCGGTGATCGGGGCGCACCTGGAGAGCTCCGGGTGCGACTTTAGTTTTGCGGGGGATCTGTACAAGCTCGTCTTTGGAGAGGAGGCGGACGTGGCTGTGGAATGGAAGAGGATCGTCGCTGCGCCGCTGTTTAAGAGCTGGATGGAGGGGATGAAGAGGATGAAGGATACCAAGATCTGAGAAACGGGCCTGATGTCCTCTGGTTATCCTGTGTTTGTACCGTTGTAGGGCAGCCCGATTGTTGACAATGAAAGTCACACTTTTGCTTCCGCACTACTCTCCTTTCATGTCGAAAATACAGCTCGGCCTTGCGCTGCTTACAGACACCCTGTGCGCGCCGTGCGCCGAGGCGGCCGTGAAACAGACCGCCGTTCAAAGACCTCAGCTCAACATAACATGTACCACAGAGGACACTTGAAGAGGAGCAGCAAAAGAAGTGCACAAAAGAAATCCTCATTCGGGCCTGACCGGGAATTGAACCCGGGACCTCGCCCAGACGTTGCAAGCTGCTGCCTGTCCCTAAGGGCGAATCATACTACTAGACCATCAGGCCGCGGATGGGAAGGGGCCACCCTAGATGGGTGTTGTACCCTATTACTTAGTAGGTGGGCATTATGCGGGAAGGCTGCTCGCCTCTGAATACAGTTCAGTCGGTACTCTCTGTTCGTTTCGTTTGTTCGTTGTGGACCTTTTGTCCATAGTTTGCCACTTTGTCTGTGGGGCGATCTGTATTATTAACGGGATGCTCCACTACAGTAGTAGGAGAAGCACTCTACCGCTCGCCAGCAGCCCTTTCCAGCAACGGGGATCTCCACCTAAAAAGATCCCATCTCCCAATAACGCAAACCCAGCAGACATCACCCCCGCAGCGCACAACTGGCCAACCCAGCTGTTAATGAATTTCCCCAGCTCATCCAGTCGCACGACCCACATTCGCTCACTTTCAACGAGGTGATCCAGGCGCCGAGGTGCCGATGGGGCTGTGCAATTGAACTTCCGCCTTGTCGCGCGAAGAAGGTATACGAGGATTCTGCGAAACCCGCCGGACCTATTTCGTCCGGACGCATCCGGACAGTTAGGTCCGGATGTATATAGCCGGTTAACCCTCCTTTTGCCTCCGAGAGGACTTAAGCTGTTTGGCGTGGATAAGGTCGACCAGGCCGTCCTAGGGCCTCAAGGCGTAGTCATTGTCATCTCCTTTTGTCCGTCCTTGCCAGCGCGGACTCCTCGCTATACCACCATCCCTATAACTCCTCTTCCCAACTCGCTTTACCGTGCATCCGTCTTCGACGCTTACCCCCGCCAGTTTGACCTGCACGTTGCTTGCGAATGGTCGTATTCGCATCTCGACTAGTGGTCGATCTTACCGAGTGTGCGAGGCTTCAGACTGTATAATTGGTGCGCCCTTCCGTCCTCCCGCATAAGAGTGACCTACTGATATCTAAATCAGCTGTACACCTCTCTTTATCCCTGTCTGGCACGATGGCATCTGGCGGTTACGACATACGAGCGCATGCCGTGCGCGCCGCCCTCAGTAATCGAGGTCGTCCTTCCTACCGGCCCGTGCCCTTCGTTCCCCACCAGCCAGTCCAGCAAGATGCTACTGGCACCGGGATCATCCAAGATGCCGTTCTCCCTCCCGCCCCGCCTGAGCCGCGTCGCCAGTCCCTCTCCTCTCCTGTTGTTCGTGACGAAGGAGGCCTACAGTCTCGCGGCGGGCAACGGTCCCCTCAAGAGCGCAGTCTCTCGCGGTCTGCTGGTCCAAGTCGTCCACCTAGCCATTCGCCTCTAGATTCACTCTCTCCTCCTGAAGCGAAGCTGGAGATCTTCGTGCCTCTTCTGAGGACGCCCGTCGCTTCTCCACCTCTTTCACAATCCCAACATACCGTACGGCCTCCTCAGCTTCCACCGGCGACTCCCCCCGTTCCTCAACAGTACTTGCCATCTAATCGCCGGAATACCTCTTCGCGTACCTCGAGCGTGGCGTCGACACCGCAGGAAGCGCCTCAACTCAGTGCATGGCAGACTGCTTGCCTCAATGAGGCACCGGCGGTCACCTGGGAGATCTGGGCTGAAGGCAGCACCGTATACAGGAGTCTAGAAGGTCAGGAACGAACACAGGAAGCCGCACTGTGCGATTACATGCATCAGCTCCAACTTGGTTATGTTCGCCAGCCGGTGCTCGGGGACCCGCCTGCAGAGATTTCCGAATGGCTGGAACTCACCAAGACCACAGTGGTAAGCATGTTCCCCGCGTACCCATATGACATGCTTACGGAGCTCTCAGGATCGGATCGGTCCTTGGGACAGGTTGGACACTCGCCTGGTCGCTCGTTACGTAGCCAACCTCGAAGAGTTCGTCTTTAAAGTCGCCGATCAGTTTCCCTCGCCCCCCTACCAGTCGCCTGTCCGTCCTCCTGGCTACAGGCTGTGGCTCCGGCACAATCCTGAAGAGAAGGATATACGAGATGAAGTTCTCACAACCTTCGTCCATGCTGCGGACAACCCCCTGGAAATCATTACACAATGCACCTCAGCCCAGGAGCTCATCGACCACCTTGCGCGCAATCGCGTCTGGCCACTTCCTTGGTTTGGCGCATACCGCCGGATCTGTCGCCCAATCGTTCAGGATCACTTGCGGAGCCGTGCCAGCTGGATTGTGCGAAGTCTTTTACAATGTTGCACACATTACTGATGTCTTCGTAGTCAGCATATTTGGACCTCCTGGATCGTCGCCGGGAGGTCTTCTTCAATGAGACACGAGGATTCGTCCTACAGGAGGCCATGTATCTTCTCGCCTTTCACATTCATGAAGGATTCCCAGATCCCTTGCCACTTCGACGCCGCACGATGCGATTCATCGACTGGGATGCAATTGAGCGCCAGACCAGAACCACACACCCCACCAGCCTCATTAATCGTGATCATTATTCGACCCTGTACATCAACAATATCATCAAGCTATGCAACATCGGCAAGCCAAAGTCTCTTGGTGTCCCAGTCCGCTATGTCAATGCCTGGTTCCTCGCCGTGCAGCAATGTTTGGTCAGTTTCGCCTGTTGCATGTCTGAACGGCAGCTGACCATATTATAGAATCACACCCTTCAAGTTCAGTTCAATCAGAATGTTGTTCCCACGCTCGAAATGGCATCGGAAATGGTCTCGATCATGCAGTATGCTTATGACTATCTCGTCATATCCGATCGCGCTGAATGGCCTTTACACAATCCATGGGTCCCCCGCGCCCTATTCCAACAACTTCAAGTTCACGTCGATGGCAAGTTCGAAGGCAAGCGGGCTCCGTTGCTCACACGCAAAATGCTCATCGATGGCCGCGAGCCCATGAGCGAGGATGAGGTCAAGCATCGGTATTTGAAGCATCTGAAAGCCCAGCGTGATCAAGCAGTACAGCCATCGGACGACGAGGAAGTCTCCGATGTCTACATGACAGACTCCTCAGGGCGCTCCAATCTCATACGTTCGCGGCCAACCAAGAGGCGCGAGGGCACGATTCCTCGTCATAAGCTAAGGCGCAAGTTCTGGCAAATCCCGACATATAACCTGAAGCACTTCCCGTCA